CACAGGTTGATCATTGATCTATACCTTCCAGTTTCGAATTTCGCCTTAGAGTATATTTGACAGCAGATGGAATCTAAGCTTGATATCACGCATCAGGAATATTAATTGCAAGCCTTTTAGTTTCTCAATTGCTTATCACACTATTTCTCCATCTCTGATATCAGGTACATATGTTCTTATGGTAAAGAAAGTAAAGCACTCAATCATGGGAAACATTATCCTCTAGATATTATGGTATCTTTTCTTGTATACTAATTAACAGTGAAGTGAGGGTAGAAGGATTGGAGACTCTCGACTCTCGACAACCTATGCCAAAGGGAGCGCTTCCGAACAAGGAGATGCCTTAACATTCGAATCTGAGGTAAAGCTTAGGCCCTCCTTTGAACGAAAAACCTTTTCAGTTCTCGGAAAGTATATCGGTTGGTTGATAAACTATCATGCTGGTGCCAAGATGTTGTAAAACAAGCATTTTGCAAGTAGACAGAGTAGGCGTTTATTCCTTAATTTTTTATTTGTAGATCGACAGAGTTTATCTTGGCTCAAGAGATGTCATAGCGATATTCGACCACGAACGAAAACGAACCTTTTTTATTAGAAAAGAAGGCCTTCCAGATATTGGTAAGTTTTGAAACCTCTTCAATTCAATCTAAAGCATGTGCTGATTAATGGCATCCTGGTAGAACCAAAATGGCCTTGATGTCAAGTTCTTTGCATTTCTGCAGGTGTTTGGAATCCATGGGAGAAGAAATCTAAAGCCATTGCCGATTTTGGGGATGAAGAATACAAGCAGATGCTTTGTCAATGGTGCAGCAATTGAAAAACCAATAACATTGAAGCCAGGTGAGGAATGGACCGGCAGACTCGAGCTCTCGGTTGTCCCTTCAAGTTAATGACAGCAAGTATTCAATGTTATTGGTTTTTCAATTTGTATTCAATTATATATATATACATATATGATACTAAGCTAATAATAATATTCCCCAGTGATAATGGAAGTGTAAATTCCTGGAAGTGGAGATACGTTTTAGTGTTTCTCCGTTATAGCAGTGACATTAGTTGTTGCAAAAACATCTGTGTAATGGACTCTGTAAATCAAAATTGACAATGTTAGCAAAAAGAAATGATTAAAATAGATGTTATTTAGTCTCTTTTCTGTATGCGTTACCTGAAAAAACGATGCAAAAGATGATGTTTAATAAGACAATATGGGACAGCCATTTTATGTCCTGCGTAATGTCTTATATTCGTTTAATTTTATCGATAAGACAAGAATGTTACAAACAATATATATAATTTACGACATTCATTTTAAAAATCAAGATAACAAATATAAAGCGATGTGAATGGTAAAATGAAATATTTTTTAAAAATATATGAGTTTAAGCAGTTACGTCTATAAAATGTATATGTTATCAATTATAAGAAAATTAAGAACGGATATTACTCTAAGTGTGTGATATGTGTCACATCATTCATTTAAGTGATGCACACTTGTTTACATTAATAATATGTATTATCGTTAGTCAATTAATGATTCATTTAATATGGAATAATTTGATCATAAATTATAATGTTGAATGTAATATTCTACAAAATTTAAAATCAAAATAGTTATTTATACAAAATTAAAATCAAAATATTATTTATACAAACGTTAAAGGTAATTTTGTGATTATACTAAAGAAGTTAAAATAATTACTCATTTATCTATAGATATAGATAACGTAATATTTTACACTTATAATCTTATAAGATACTGTATAAATAACTTTTATAGTAATAATCGATTGTATTTCTTGTTGATATATATAATGATAAAGTCAAAAAAGTTAAATTACAATATTAATTGTATTTTAAAATGATATTAATATTTTCAAAAGATAATATTAATTTTATTTTCATTTTCTATTTAAATTTTAAAAAAATGTGTCAGCTGGCTCGACCAGTGTAGGTATGTAACAGGGATTTCCCTCCAAAAGAATATTAATTTTATTTTCATTTTCTATTTAAATATTTAAAAAATGTGTCAGCTGGCTCGACCAGTGTAGGTATGTAACGGGATTTCCCTCCCTTTTTGCATGAGCGGTGTGGTCTTAAGTGGCCAATGAACGTGATTAGTAAGGTAATTTTTAGTAATTTAATATGATTATAAAATAATATTTATTTGTTTAATTTTTTTTATTAAGTTTTAAATGATTAAAGTAGTATCTATTATAATGTTCTTAATTATTTGACAATGAACGCTCAATCACTTTACTGCAGTCGTTGGTGCTCGAACATGTAATCTCTAAGATAATAATGATTCATTTAACCACTAAAGTAAATTAGTTCGTACCTAATTTTTTTTATTTACGGATATATACACATTCTACATACTTAATTGTTGATTCTTTAAATTTTAAGAAAATATATTTTCTTTTATTAGTGTAACCACATAGTATATTCTGATTAATAGATTTTTAAATAAGCTTTACTAATATTCATTATAAAATTACGAATATACAACAAACTATATTGTAAAACCTTTCTTTCTCCTTTTATTAATATATAGTAAAACCTTTGGACTTTGCTTCTGTGTAGATTCTTCACAACCAGACGAAGTGAAATGTGTGTGAAGACGGAATCATATAGTAAAAATCTGAATGACATAAGCTAGGCATTTAAAGTTAAATGTGATATCTTATTTAACAAAATATATAAGAGCTTACTCTTTTTTATATATGTTATAGAAGGATGAGCACGAACCGATTTGATAGGTAAAATATTTTTTTTTTCTCGATTCAATTTGATTTATTTTTTGAGATAAAATTTGAAATTAAATTCAACTCGAGTGGATCTAAAATAATATATTTATCAAAAAATTTTTTTATTCAATAAAAATGTATTTAATTTAAAAAAATATATAAGGATATTTATATTCCTAAATATAAAAGGTAAAATTTTTTTCCCGGATCGAGTCAAGTATTTTTACTCTAAATCCGAACCTAACTCGACCGAATATAATCTCTAAAAAATTAAATCTGAACCTGATTTTTTTAAAATACTCGATTCGATTGAGTCGGACCGGATTGAGATCGGCTGGATTCAAATTCTGTACCCATCCCTCATTATAGATAATAATCGCCACCCTGCTACCGAAAAAAAGGTAATCTAACAGACAATGGCAGTAGCAGAAGCATTCCCTATCCCTAACAGTCGCATTATTGCTACCGCATATGTGAACTGAGACTGCTAAAACCTAGTGATTGGAAAGTAGGAGATATCAACAAACCAGAAATAATCATCTGTAAGAAATATCAACAAACCTGAAATAATAATCTGTATTGGGCTGATAAAATCCGTCTATTTTGTAAAAAAAATAATTTTTTTATATAATTTAATTATTTTTTATACTTTTTTATAAACATTTTTTTCCTAAAATTTTATAAATTCAAATTTTCTTATTATAAATTTTGAGGTCCGATCATGATCAAGAAGGTAAGCAAGTGTCTGGCCATCAGTTCCAGCAGCAGCCCAACATGCCAACCTTGTAGTCCCGAGTGGTCTTCTTTTGATCAACCAGTCTTTCAGAGATTCATTCCCTTGCAGACTGAAAGCACGAATGCAGACCCAATTGCATTTGTTTCTTTTCACACAAAAGATTTTCGAAGCACTACAAGCAGTTCATGTTTCCCTCAATCATTTTGTATTGAGTTGATTTTTCAATTTTATTTTATTCAAAAGATTTAATATTATATTTCATTAAAACAAAACGAATGCGTGAACTTTGATAATGATATCACACTAAATAATGAGTAAGCGTTAAACCCCCATGTCATTTTTGAAACCAAAACAGAGCAAGAACGTTTCGGAAAAATAGCTTAATTGAGAAACCACTGTTCTTCTTTCGTGGAAAAGGAAAGATGGAGGTTACAGCAGCAAAAGAGAAGTGATGAAAACATATGGGATTGTGGGAGTCCCCTCTATGATTCCCATGAATTGGCTTCAATTGGCCATCTCTTGGATAGGGGCACCATGTCCTTCCCATATTCAAATATTCCAGGTGGAAAGGTGCAATCTTCGTAGTCGTAGGGTATGGTTGTTTGTTCCGGAAAGTTGCGAGATGGACGCTTTCGATGACGAAGATTAAACGGGATCGGAATCAAAAGGATAAAAAGGTAACAAACTTATACAAAAATCCCTATGAGAAAGGAAGAAAGCAAGGGAAGGGAATATTGGCAGTAAAAAACTCTTTTGAGTTGAAAAGAAAACTGATATGAGAGAATCGTGCAGGAAAATCAAGGAAATGGCAGTACAAGAAACTGCATCAGTTGAAGCTGCTCTTCACCTACTCTTGTTATTTTGCCTGATTGTGTTCAATGCAACTTAATATCAATCCCAAGTGATTAATACAATTTGATGTTGGGTTGGGACTTTTAAACACAAAACCCAACCTCCTGGAATGACGAGTTAACTTCAACTTCAAGCAACTGATGTAATAAATTTATTCAATAATTGCAAACCCAGAGTTTATTTAATTCAAAAACAACTACACAGGTAGATGAACCAATCATACAAAATTCTCAAGTAGCAGCTATAAATGAAATTGCTTCATTAAGCTTCAAGACAGTTATGACCCCTTTGGTAAGTTACAGCGAAGAAGAAAATAGTGATACAAAAATCAACGACACTATGATTGAGTGATATAAACAGAGTAATTACGGCACGTTTCTGAGAAGTTTCGTCCAAGCAATCAAAACAGAGCAGAAAACTTTCAAAAGAGAGTAAAATTTGAAGTGATAATATTGTTGAAACAAATGCGATGGTTTATCTATTGCAGTCACTCATATGACTTTTGACACCACTCAAACTACATTCTTTTAGCAGCAATTCATTTTTGCTTGGCCAATATATTTTTGAATTATTTAGTTATTTAAAAATAAACTGATTTTTTTTTTCATTTCTATAAATATATCATAAAGGACATTGCAGCTGTATAACCCTATTGAAGTTTAAAACTTCACTATAAATATATTATTAGTATTCGCTTCGCTCATTCAACGCCTTCTCCTTCTCCAAGAAAATGGCTCACCCGCCGCAACCGGACTCGTTCTCAGAGTCCCGTCTAGACTCTGACGCCGGAGCTGTCTTTGTTCTCGAATCCAAAGGTGAGAAACAAAAGCAATGAAATTTCAATTTGGCGGATATATAGTTCTCTTTTGTTTTACGGTGAAATATACAGGGAAATGGTGGCATGCGGGGTTTCATCTGACGACGGCGATCGTGGGACCGACGATCCTGACGCTACCGTATGCATTTAGAGGGCTGGGATGGAGCCTGGGCTTCCTGTGTTTAACGGTGATGGGATGCGTGACGTTCTACTCCTACTATCTCATGTCGTTGGTGCTGGACCACTGTGAAAAAGCTGGTCGCCGTCACATACGCTTCCGAGAACTGGCCGCCGATGTTTTAGGTAACAATAACAAACCTCATCATCTTCAACCTTTTGGGACTATTCCTTTTTGTCAAACACTGCGGAAAGCGTTTTCACATATGCGCATCTTCTTGATGTTTGCCTTTTCCTTCACATATCACTTGTAGTGGAATAAGGAATGTTACACGTGTTGCTTTCGACGCCGGAGGTTTTTAATAAGTTTTCCTTTAATTTTATTAGCTAGTCGTTATTTATTTTTGGTTTTTTATAATAGTTCATATTTTTATAAATTAAATTTATAGTCATTATTTAGGATCATATCCAAATATTAAATTGACACTTACATTACTATAAGATCAATCGTTTTAAATAATTTATAAAAATAACATAGTTTTTGTTCACTGTAGAATATAGATTTTATATCAAAAGTCATGATATATATTCTTTGAATGAATCATTTGACAAAATTAAAAAAATATTAAATAAATCAAGTTTAGATATTAGATCAACTTATGAGTAAAACTATACATAAGTTAAATGCGTATTTCAAGTAAGGTAAGAAGTTTAAGTCTTTTCATTTGTAAATAGATCAAATTTATTTAAAGGTGTCACTCTTATAATAAACTTTTCAAACCAAAACTGGGTTATCAGTCAATATATTAATTCATAAATGTCAATAGGGTGTTCATAATTTAATTAAATCGAATTAATCGATCGAACCAAAATTTTGGTTGATCGATAAGTCGATTAATTTTAGGTTAGATTGGTTAATGGGTTTTTTCAAACTTCGGAGATCGGTTAATTCGATTTGAAATCGGTTAGTTAATGAATTAACCGCAATTATTAAATATTTATATATTATTTAGCTTTAGGATGTTTCAACTTTGGTTTTAACTGTTAATATATAATATATATTACTTATAAATTTCAGTTAATTCGGTTAACCGATCAATTAGTCGAACTTAGTTTGATTCAATTAAGTTTTTTTAGAAAAAAATTCCGTTCGGTTAATGATTAAAAGAAAAAAATTCGGTTAATGGATTTTGGTTAATTCGTTTCAGTTTGTAAACCGAATTAACTGATTGAACACCCCTATTAAGATTTAAAATTCCTAACCTTACTTCAAAGATCCAATGTCCCATCTTATTAGATCAAATAAATTATTAGTTATACACATCTAAATATTAATACATAAATAATTTATATAATTTTATTTCCTCTCTAATTATTTTATCATACTCTCCAAACCCATAAATAGGGATAAAGCAATGATAAAATTTTAGAGATAAACATATATATAAAAATTAATTAGAATCCTGAGTCATCATTGTTCACATATTATATATAATTCAGTATTGTTTATAAGATCAATTTTTAAAACAAAAAATTAAAGAAAAAACACATGTCACTTTATCAAGATAATAATATGTTTACTTTTTTAAAACATTTATACATATATAAGATAATTACATAATTTTTTTAAATATTACAATATGAATAGCTTTAAAGATTTAAAAATTATAATTATTCTAAAATTATATTGTTATATATATATATATATATAAAGATATTTAACTAAGTTTATGTTTACATAATATCATCAACTCAATTACAGTATTACAACTACCCGTAAAGACACGAAACTCAATCAAATAGGGTTTTACTCTAAAGCTTTGATCATTATATTGCAGGATCAGGATGGATGTTCTATTTTGTGATATTTATTCAAACAGCCATTAACACTGGGGTTGGAATAGGAGCTATTTTGCTTGCAGGGGAATGCCTCCAGGTATATATATATATATATATATGGTCCTTAAGGACTAAGTTAAAAATCTTATATTGGAGTTAGGACTGAATCATAAATTTTTAAAACCAAACTATAATTTTGAATTTTTGGGAGACCAAGCCTTGTCTACATATATCCTATTCATTGCAATAGCTTCTCACGTAACATCCAAGGCATGTCAATTGTCATAAACACCGAAAAATTTGGTATTGTTCTAAAACTCCGCTGGTTTGGACAACTTTCTTAAATTTATCCCCTAATGTAAACATGTTTCTTCAATTTTTCAAGTTTGATGGGTTGTAAGGGACCCATCAAACTGTTTTTGTTCCTATAGTAATTAAAAGCTACCATCAATGTGTTTGCTCAAGTCAATCCTCTACCACTCATATGTCCCATCTTCTGGTGGTAGGTTAGATGTTTGGTTTCTGTTTACCTTTCTGCCCTTTAATTTGTGATACAAAAAACTGAATTGGTTCTCTAATTCTGTTTATGTTAATGTGGTAAGATCATGTATTCGAACCTTGTCCCCCACGGATCGTTGAAACTGTACGAATTCATAGCAATGGTAACGGGGGTGATGATAATTCTGTCTCAGATGCCAACATTCCATTCCCTCAGACATCTCAATTTTGCTTCTCTGGTTCTCAGCTTGGCCTACACATTCCTTGTGGTTGCTGCTTGTATCCACGCAGGTACACATACCATTCACCTATATGTATCTTTCAATGCTGGTCCCAAGGTGGCCTTATTGTTAGATGAATACACTTTAATATTTAACCCCAGTTTTGTGTGTGCGCTTAAAGCTTAACCATTTTCGGACTTGAATCAACTTCTGTTAGCGCTTCAGGTCTGTCTGAAAACGCCCCTCATAGAGACTATTCATTGGAATCTAAAAGTTCATCAAGGATGTTTAGTGCCTTCACTTCTATCTCCATAATAGCTGCCATTTTTGGGAATGGGATTCTACCTGAAATACAAGTACATTTCAAATTTTTACATGAATCTACATATTGTTCTTGGTTTTTGCTTTCAACAGGATTGTGTTTTGATACAGGCAACACTGGCTCCACCTGCTACAGGGAAGATGGTGAAAGGACTCGTAATGTGTTACAGTATAATTTTGGTTACTTTCTACTCAGCTTCAGCTTCTGGATACTGGGCTTTTGGAAACAAATCCAATTCAAACATTCTCAAGAGTCTAATGCCTGATGATGGACCAACCTTGGCCCCAACAATCCTCATTGGCCTTGCAGTTATCTTTGTTCTTTTGCAGCTATTCGCCATTGGCCTGGTATGACATTGTTCAGATGGAAAGATTTGCATGATATCTGAATTCTGTTTTCAAAATAACATTTCTCCAATATACAGGTTTACTCTCAAGTTGCGTATGAGATTATGGAAAAGCAATCAGCTGATGTAAAGCAAGGGATGTTTTCAAAGAGGAATCTCATCCCCAGGCTAATTCTTCGGACTCTGTATGTTGCATTCTGCGGTTTTATGGCAGCAATGCTACCCTTTTTCGGTGACATCAATGGTGTCATAGGTGCCATTGGCTTCATCCCATTAGATTTCATCCTCCCCATGCTTCTCTACAACATGACCTACAAGCGCTCGAAATCGTGGCTCGCCTACTGGATCATCTGTTAATCATAGTCTTGTTCACCGTGTCGGGGTTATGGGAGCTTTCTCCTCTACCAGGAAGTTGGTTCTTGATGCCACCAGTTTCAAGCTCTTTAGCAGTGATGTGGTTGATTAAATCATATGCACAAAAAGCAGTAAACAAGTCTGAAACAATCCATAGTTTAAGCCCTTTTGGCCTGCCTAAAATGTACAATGATGTCAATAAGGTGCTGCGTGGGGCTGAGATCAGAGGAAGCAATGTTCCTCGACAGAAAGGATTTTGTCTTTAGAAAATAGCAGAGGTGCAGTTTAAGGAAGATTGCTTGTGCTGGTATCTTTTACCAGTAATAGTATTACGGAAAATGTTTAATCAGTGAAAATCCAAAGTTTGTTCACAATCTATACACCCTTTCAATCAAACGTTTTATCCACTACAAAGATAAAATGGAAAAATGTCACCCAAATTGAATGGTCCAAAATGAAGAGACCGTGAGCCCTTAACGCTCTCTTTTCTTTTCCTTTTTTGGATCTTTTATGGTAATTGTTATCTCACATCTTCCCATATATAAAAAGCCTTAGTTTAACTCGGTTCAACGGTAGCACTCCGCATGACTCGTTGGAACTCAAATCTTTCAAACGTCAGCTCGACTCAGCTTTCCATTAAAGAACCATGTCCACGCCTGACACCCTTCCTCCACCTGTTTCCAAGAAGCAGCCTTCCAAATTCTCCCGTTCCATCCTTAAACTCTTCAAATTCATGTTCAAGTTCAGACAAAGACCGAGTCATTCGGTTTTGTGGCTGAAACAAAGATCGATCGAGGAGTACTATGTGATTTACGACAAGTCGGGTGCGCTCACGACGATCCCCGAGGTTCCCGAGATCGATTGCGGAGGGATTTTGCCGGAGATTAACTCGTTGGTTATTGGGAGAAGCGCATCAGAAAGATTCACTGCTGCCTCCACCGTTGGTATTTCATGTGCTTGACGTACAAAAATATTGTATATATGAATAACGACGATGTGGTCAAATAGTTTGTGCACATTTTGATCATATTTTTTTGTTTGTCTCGTACGATGCATGTTTTCTCTTTGATCATCATCAGCTCAATCCATTTAGGGTTACAATCAAGCTGATCCACTCAATTTGCTTTATGTATGGAGTTACAGTTCAAGATCCTCCATTATCCTTTTTTTGGGAGTATAAAATTTGTTTTTTAAACTATTCTTCCGCACTGATATATCACTTATTTACCATAATCATCCTTTTTATATCCTCATATGAGAAATTGTCCTCTTGGAATTAAGTTAACCCAATTTTAATATTTTGGATTATTATTTTATAATTAACATTAATAATATTGAGAGTTATTCTGTTGATTAAGGGCTGGTTTAATGAATTCGCTGGATTAGTCTCAAGTATTCAAGATGTTTTTAGTTCTATGAATCCTTTAACGATCCTGAATTTTATAAATTTTCTAAAAGCTTTCGGTTCGGTAAATGATTTTACGTATAGTGTATTAGACGGTGTAGATTACAAAGAATTGTCTTATTTTAAAGGTTCAAATTCAAATAATTAGTGTGTTATCAATATATTAAAGAAACTTTATACTATTTTATAATCCCTAAATTATTCAAACAAAAATGTAACTATTTTATATATATAAAAAAGGCAAGCAATCTTTATTTATTTAGACTCACGCACGCACACACACAACACACGCACACCCACACACACGCACGCGCGCGCACACACACATACATATCATTATCATGCACTGTTCATTTATATCATTTCTTTTAATAGCCCTTGGTACATCATTGAAAACGTAAGATATGTGAGTGCATTAAGATTGTGCACTAATGATGTCACCACAGCTAGTATAAATTGCATTGAAGTACCACATAGAATATGCACCAAAGTGTCACATAGAAATGTCCCGAAGGACCACATAGATATGTCCCGAAGGACCGCGTAGAAATGTCCCGAAGGACCACGTAGAATTCTCCCGACGGACCACGTAGAATTCTCCCGACGGACCGCGTAGAACCCTCAACTCTTGGCATGCCAATTATACCTTTAGCTCTCATATCACATACTTTTGGTATTTACCATTTATACAGTTCACATATTCATATAATCACGTAGTTCAATATCACATAGACATATAATCACATAGATCCTTGTCATATAGCTTATATCACATGTTCATATAATCACATAGGTCAATGCCACATAGCTTATATCATATATTCATGTAATCACATAGGTCAATATCATATAACATGGAATATAATCAATGCATGTTCACATAATATCAAAGGAAAAACTATGCTTATATTCATATAATCACATAATCAAAACATTGGAAATAGACTCATTGCAAGTCTTCTTTCCATAAGACTATATATAATAATATGTACTCACCTTAGCTTCACTTAGTCAAGAAAAACTCTTATCTTTCACTTGCTCAATCTTATATCGTCAATTCGTCAGGAACTTGCTTTTGTTCGATAACTACATAAATATACAGTTGATATGAATATTGGAATTCGAATCACTATTAATCGATCATCAATAACTTAAGCCAAAAGAATCACTTAATTCACAATTTCATTCTGAATAGTATCGGTATCCCAGGCACAGTACCGATACTTACTCACTATGGTATAGATACTATACTTCAGTATCGATACCCATTCTACATTCTGGAATTTCATCTCTAAAAATGGTACATATACTTATCCATTAGTATCGATAGCTTTAGTATCGATGCTACTCCTTTGGTATCAATACTCTTTTAAGGATTCATCAAATTTTACCTTATGGTATCGATATTGTTCTTCCAGTATTGATACCCAAACCCATATTTCCCTATTTTTGCTTTGAAGTATCGGTACTGTTCATCTAATACCGATACCCTTGCCCAGAAATCATTTTTTTCATTTCAAAAATTTACCAAAACTCAGCTAAAACCCTCACTTTTAACTCCTTTCAGGCCTTTAAACTCCAACATACTTATCAAGACTAACTTATAACATTTTAACACACTTAAACATCCAAAATCCCCATAGAACACTTGAAATAAAAAAATCATACCAAATTTTCAATATATCTCAAATCCATTTCTAACACCTTAAACCTCTTATTTTAACTTATGACAAGTCAAATATAACTTCCAAATCCAATTACTAACCCTTTCTCATCAATTAAAACCCTTTTTACTTAATCACCCATAATTTATCCATCTTTTAATTTTTTACTTCTCTTTAAACTTTCTCAAGCCTTCGTAACGTTTCAAGAATCAAAACCAATAAAAAATTACAAGAATTATCTGACTTAAAAGAACCTCACCTTAGCCAAGAAGCTCACGGTGGAAGAAGAAGAGAAATAAGTCTCCATATTTTCTTTCCTTTTCTCTCATCCTCCACATATATATAATACACCCATAATGAATTTTTTAATTCATTTCTTGCTAAAATACCTTTTCATCCTTCCATCTTTCAATCTTTGCTAATCAACCTACACCAATAATTTCAAATTAACTCTCTAAACTTTTCAAATTTTCAAAATTAGTCACGAAGTTTTAAAATCTTACACTTTAGTCAGTATCCCGGTTTTTGGGATGTTACAATTGTTACCATCAACATTCATATTTTGTTGATGTCTAGTAGTTTTTCTTCGACGACGGTGAAATATTCGTTTTATTTACAAATCGAAAGGCTCTAGCTTGTTGTTGCTACGAGGCATAAACTATTGAAAATAAAAAGAATTAGTATCTAAAAAAAGAGAAAATAAATAAGTAAATAAAAGGAACTCTAATGTAAATCAATGCTTCTCGACAATGGCACCAAAAACTTGATACTACGAAATAGTTACAACATTCAATGCAAGTATACGTGTCGTAAGCCAAGTAATAAAGTGGAAGCTTAGAAAGCTTCGAGTGTTGAACCCACTGAAAGTAAGGCTAGTTACAAGAGAGTCTAATGTGAAAAAAGAATATTTGATGTTTTTAGGTAAACAGAAAGAAATTTGAAGAAAACAAAATATAAAAAACCAGGTAATGTTGCACCATTATGGAAAGCACGAAGTCAATTATCAAGTAGAATAAAGTGATAAATGATAGTTCTCATATCAACTATGCAATCAATACTACTTTCATGTGTCTAGCAATGATTTAAAACATTTTATTAACATTAATCAATCTTCACTAATTAAGGTAATCAAACTATTAATGTGGCTAAACAATTGGCAACATGATTCTCAACATGCACAAATGCTACTAAGAAAAACCAACACTGACAAAGGTACACGACATATCAACAACATCTATTTCTAAAATATCATCAATAAATCATGCATTGAAATTACTAATATTTATAATAGTAGTTTTAAAGAGTAACATCACATGATCATAGTATTAACACATATGCCGAAATGGAAAACTTAAACCAAATATCATCCATGAAATTCATAACATCCCAAAGCTAATTGCTAATCTCCTATCTCAAGTGAACAACAAGCTTAGAATGGTGATCTTGATGACTTTCGATGTTGCTCGGCGAAGCTTTTCAAATGCTACAACACTTCCCTGGTGTCGTAACCAGTTTTCGTCCGGGCACGAAATATTTATTACTTGACGGGAAAAATGATGTGAATAAATGGTTTTTTAAAAATAATTTGTGAGTCGCCATCGGCCTTTTGGGTCAGGTAGGTCGAATACCTAAAAATTATCTTTTAACAGAATTTTTAAGAAAACATCAGTTAAAAGATGAGTTGATCTGCGTTTATAACCAAAAATTATTTCTTTTTAATAATAAAAAGGGATTCGTGGTCGGTTACGTTTAGGGAAGGATTAGCTACAACGCCCAAAATTGATACTTTTTAATTATAAATTGTCTCTATTATTAGAAATTTAAAAATTCAAAATATATTTAATTTATAATCCTATTATTTCAAAATTATATAAAATATATTTATTTATTTAAAAATATCAGAAAAGGACTTCTAGGTGCCTTAAGACAGTTCTTTTCTTTGATATTAATAAAATTAAATAATATTTTTTTTATTAATATTTAATTTTAAAATACCAGAATATGACATCCAGTTGTATTAAGACTGC